CCCGAACCTGTGCTGGAACAGTCCCGCGGTTTAGGGTAAGTTTAGGGTCTCGGAGAACGATTGGAGCCTGGTGAGGAATGGGAGCAATGCGCCAGGCCGGCTTTGGCTGCGCTGCCGGACGATTCCTGGCCGGCTCCTGCTGACTCGGTTGCCCCCCGCCTGTCCTCATGGGACTCAGCGCAGGCTCCACCGACGGAAAATCCTAAACCCCTATAACGCCTGAGTGTTGGATCATGGACCCGAGGGCCTATAGAGCTTCAGAAGCTAATCCGAAACCCCTTGAACTCAATAAAACCTTAGATACACCCAAAACCCTAAACCCTAAACCCCAAAACCCTAAACCCTAAACCCCTAAACCCTAAACCCCTAAATCCTAAACCCCTAAACCCTAAACCCCAAAACCCTACATGCACACTAAACCCCAAAAAGCACCAAACCACCCAAAGCTGCAGGCCTGGGAGCTGCGGTGGAACAGCTGGAGATTGCACTCTCCTCGTACGAGATACCTGGGGCGGTCTTGGGGTTGACCTGTAGCCCCAAGCCCTATCAGTAGTAGTAGGAGGTTATGGAATAAGATAGTAGGTAACTTAGTATGCTATAACCCTTACAACAAGATAACAGGTCTTGGGATAACATACAAACCTTACAAGATTAGCTCACTGGATCCACGGGTAGGGGGAGGGTGTAGATATTCAGTATTCAGGTCGAGGATGGGCTAAGGGCTTCGGGTGCGCGGGAGACTTCCATCACTCTCCCACCCTGGGGCTCCAATTACCTAAATCGTAGGTTGCTAACCATATCCCGTAGCCCTATATATATATATGTATACCTACATATTTTTTAGTTAGGTATGTATATTTATTTATTTATATAATATAGGTAACCTAAACCCTAAACTCTAAACCCTAACCCATTATGTAGGTAACCTAGACCGTAAACCCTAATCCCTAGACTCTAAACTCTAAACCCTAACCCATTACATAGGTAGCTGGAGCCCTGGGGCCGGTAGTAGATGCCCAATCGGGGCTTCGCACCGAGAAAGGAAGAAACCCGCCGACTTCGGCTAGGGTTTAGGGTTTAGGGTTTAGGGTTTAGGGTTTAGGGTTTAGGGTTTAGAGTTTAGGGTTTAGGGCTTCTTCACGAAACAAGGCCACCCTAATACGAACTCGAAACAAAAGGATCCTTACTACAAGGATCCCAAAATAGGCTCCAAAACAGCTAGGAACAGGGCTAGCTGCGTGCTCTGACACCGTCACCCAATTTCAAAACTCCAAACCCGAAAACCCTAAAAGCCCTAAACTCCTATAACCCTAAACCCGGCACCCTAAAACGCGAAGCTCCACTACAAGCGCAACTCGCGGAGCCTGACGGTATCGGATCGGTCTCCCTGGGTTGACAAAGCCCTAAACCCTAAACCCTAAACCCTAAACCCTAAACCCTGATAGGGCTTAGGCTTTAGGGATTACCGGTGGAGACCCAGGGTCCATGCAGACACTTTTCCCCGGGAGCAATCCTATATATATATATATATATATACAGAGATATAGATATAGATGCGTGAGGGTTTGGTATCGATGATATGTTGTAGATGCTCACCTCACCGAGCGTGTTGTTGATATAGTTGTGGTATTGCCAATGCAGAACTCACACGCGCAATTGTACACAATGTAGAGCGGCGCACCCTTCCTTTTCTCACTCGCCTTGGCTGACGTTGAGTCTTTGCAG